TAAAGTCTGTGAAGTTGACCCCAAGGCTAAAGAGTGAGGTGGTAAAAGCTGTGAATGAAACCAAAAGACAAGTATTTCAAGAAGTAAAGTCCGTGGATTTAACCCCAAAACAACAGTTTCAAGGAGTGGCAGCTGTGGATTTAACTTATGGACCAGAACAGGATGGTGAGATATCTGTTACATTCTCACCAAACCAACAATATGTTAATTTAGAACAATTGAAGAAGGGGTCTGAGCCAGAAGGTGGGGTGTCTTTGGAATTAATTGCAGAGCCAAAATGTGAAGGTATAAAACTTGTAGACCTCAATGTTGGGCTACAGTTGAAAGGTATGAAATCATTTGAATTGACTCCAGAACCAAATATTGAAGGTGTAAAATCTAAAGCATTCAGGTTTGAACCACATTTGCAACACATAAAATCTCCCAAGTTGACCTCAGGACCACAATTGCACCAAGTGAAACCCATGGAGACAACTTCAGGGCCACAGCTCCAAGGTGGGAAAACTGTGGAGTTAAGCCAAGAGCCCAAGCTTAGAAATATGAAATCCGTGCAGTGGATCCCAGTACCAGAGTATGAGTGTAAGAAATCTATAGCATTAGCTCTAGAATTACCATCTCTAAGTGTTGAAACTGCAGAGTTGAAACCTATGCTACAGTTGAGAGGTATGAAGTCATCTGAATTGACTCCAGGATCAAAATTTCAAGTCGGAAAATCTGTGTTCAACCTTGGGCCACAGTGGCAGACTGTGAAAACTCCTGACTTGTCCCCAGGACCACAGCTGCAAAAAAGGGAAAATTTGGAGTCAACCTCACAGCCACACCTTAAAGGTGAGAAAACTGTTCAGTTAAACCAAGAGCCAGGGCTTGGAAGTATGAAATCTGTTCAGTGGATTCCAGGACCAGAGTTCCAAGGTAGGAAATCTGAAGTGATGAATATTGGGTCATCACAGTCTTGGGGTGTCAAACCTGTAGAGTTGAAAACTGTGTTACAATTGAAAGGTATGAAGTCATCTGAATTCACTCTAGGATCAAAACTTCAAGGTGAAAAATCTACAGAGGTCAGCCTTGGGCCACAGGGGCAGAGTGTGAAAACTCCTGAGTTGTTCCTAGGACCACAGCTGCAAAAAGGGAAAGATTGGGAGTTACCCTCAAAGCCTCAGCCTCAGCCTCAACATGTGAAAACTGTGGAGTTAAACCAAGAGCCAGAGCTTGGAAGTATGAGATCTGTTCAATGGATACCAGGACCAGAGTTTCAAGGTGTGAAATCAGTAGTGCTAAATCTTGGTTCACAATCTCAAAGTGTCAAACCTATAAATTTGAAACCTGATCTACAGTTGACAAATATGAAATCATGTGGCCTGATTTCAAGGTCAAACCTTTATGATACAAAATCTATGGTGTTCAAATCTGGGTTTCACACACAAGATTTAAAATCTGAGTTGTCCCCAGGACCACAGCTACAAGAAGTGAAACATTTTAAGTCATCCTCAGGGACACAGCTTCAAGATGTGAAGTCTCTAGTGTTGCCGCAAGAGCCGCAGCTTCCAGGAGTGAAATCTGGGGTTTTAAGTGAGGGCCCACAATTGCAAAGTGATAAAACCGTAGAGTTGAACACCCTACTACACTTAAACACTATAAAACCATCTGAGTTAACTTTTCAGACAGAACTTCAAGGTATTAAATCTGAGGAGTTCAACTCTGGACTAAAATGGCAAGCTGTAAAATCTTATAATTTGACCCCTGAGACAAAGTCCCAGGGTACAAAACGTATTGAGTTAAACCCCAGCTCACAATTGCAAGATGTTAAATTTTCTGAGTTGACCCTGGGAATAAAGATTCCAGGTATCAAATCTAAGGACCTTAACCCTGGGCCGTTGTTGCAAGGTGTGAAAACTTCTGAAGGGACTTCAAAGTCAAAGCTTCAAGATGTAAAACATACAGAAGTCAGCCCAGGTTCCCGGGTGCAAGTTGTGAAATCTGAGCTGATCCTAGGATCAAAGCCTCAAAGTGCGAAACCAGTGGTGTTAAAATCTGGGCCACAGTTGCCAAATGTGAAATCTTCTGAGTCTCTCCAGGGGACAAAACTTCAAGGAATGAGATCAGTGGAACTCAGCTCATGCCCACAGCTGGAAGATGTAAAATCTTCTAGGTTGATCACGGGCAAAACGCTTCAAGATTTGATATCTATGGATTTCAGTTCTGGACCAAACTTGCAGAGTGTGAAATCTTCAGAAATGATTCCAGGGACAAAGTTTCAAGGTGTGAAATCTGTAGAATTCAAACCTGATCTAAATTTTCAAGGTGAGAAATCTGATTTAACCCTGGGGTGTAACATTCCAGGTGTGAAATCAGTGGAGTTCAACTCTGAACCACAGATACAATGTGAAAAATCTGAGTTGATTTCAGAGATAAAGCTTCAAGATGTGAAATTTGTAGAGTTCAACCCCGTACCACAGACCCAAGGTGAAAAATCTGAGTTGGTTTTGGGCACAAAGTTTCAAGATGCGAAATCTGTGGAGTTCAATTCAGGTTCACAGTTGCAAGATGTGAAATATTCTAAGTTGATCCTGGGGACAAAGTTTCAAGACGTACCATCTATGAAGTCCAGTTCTGAATCACATTTTTGGAGTATGAAATCTGAATTGATTCCAGACACAAAGCTTCAAGAAGTGAAGTCTTTAGGATTCAATCCTTGTCCAAAGTTACAAAATGAAAAATCTGATTTAACCCTGGGGAGGAAGTTCCAAGGAGTGAAATTTATAGAGTTCAATGCTGGACCACAGTTACAAGATGAGAAATCTGACTTGACATTAGAGTGGAGGTCTCAAGATTTGAAATCTGCTGAGTTAAAAATTGTTCCACAGTTACAAAACGTGACTTTTCCTGAGTTAACACTAGAGGCAAAACTCCAAGGTGGGAAATCTGTTGTGTTCATCCCTGAGCCAAAATGTCAAGATATGAAATCTTCTGAATTGACTCTTGATACAAAGGTACAAGATATGAAATCTTTGGGGTTCAACTCAGCCCCACAGCTACAAGACAGTAAATTGTCTATATTGACACAAGGGACACAACTTAAAGGTGTGAAATCTATGGAATTCAACCACAGGGGGAAGTTGCAATGTGTAAAATCTTCTGAAGTGATAAAACTTCAAACAGTGAAATCTATAGAGGTCAACCAAGGCCCAGAATTTCAGGTAGTAAAACCCTCTGAACTGGTCTTGGAATCAAAGCTTCACAGTGTGATACCCTCTGAGTGCAGTGCCGGAAAACAGTGGCAAGATGAGAAATGTTATAAGTTGAATCCAAATCCAGAGCAAGGTGTAAGATCTGAGTCATGCACGGAGACAAAGCTTCCAGATGGGCAATCTCTGGAATTTAATCATGAGCCTAAATTGCAAGGTGGGAAATCCTCTGAGTTGAATCCAGAGCCACAGCTTCAGTGTATAAATTCTATAGCATTCAATGAAGGGCCACAGTGGCATAGTGTAAAATCTTCTGAGTTGAATCCTGGGCCAGAGCTTAAAGGTTTAAAATCTAATATGTTCTGCCTTGGACCACATTTGCAATGTGTGAATTCTTCTGAGTTTATTCCAGGACCAAAACTTCAATGTGTAAATTCTATTGGGTGCAACACTGGGCTACATTTGCAAGGTGTGAAATCTTCTGAATTGACTCAAGTTTCAAAACTTCAGGGTATGAATTATTCTTTGCTGAATGCAGGGACAGAGATTAAAAATGAAATATCTATGATGTTCAACCCTGGACCACATTTGCAAGGTTTGAAGTCTGAATTGACCCTAGGTTCACAGTTTCCAGGTGTAGCACCTATGGAAAGCAACCCTGGGCAACAAGTGCAGTGTGTCAAGCCTTCTCAGTTGAACTCAGGACCAAAATTCCAATGTATAAGGTCTATGGAGTGCAAATCTGGGCCATCCTTGCAAGGTATAAAATCTTCTGAGTTGACTAAAGGAGCAAAATTCCAAGGTATATCTTCTGAATTGAATACAGGGTCAGAGCTTCAAGATATGAAATCTATTGTGTTCAACCCTACACAAAATTTGCAAGATGTAAAGTCTGAATTGATTCCAGGGACAAAGTTTCAATGTATCACATCTGTAGGGTTCAACTCTGGACCACAGTTAAAAGGTATGAGTTCTTCTGAGTTGAATTTAGGGCCAAAACTTCAATGTATAAATTCTATAAAGTTCAATCCGGGACCACAAATGCAAGGCATGAAAACTTCTAAATTGAATCATGGGTCAGAATCTCAAGGTACAAGATCCATTTTGTTCAATCCTGGGCCACATTTGCAGGATGTGAAACCTCCTGAGTTGACTCCAGGGACAAAGTTTCCCAAAGGCCACTCTTTGGAGAATCATCTTGGGTCACAGCAGCATGTTGTGAAATCTGTGTTCACTTTGGGCCCTCAATTATATGATGTGAAATCATTTTCACCAGAGCCACTACATGAAGATGTAGTATCTGTGGAGATGAACAAAGATCCATTGTTTTATGGTACAAATTCTGTGGAGTTGATTGAAGGCTCTGAGGTACAAGACTTGAAATCTGAGGTGTTTGTACTAGAACCATGTTTTCAGAAAATGAAAACTGTGGCGGTAAACCCTTTGCCCCATCTTCCAGGTATTAATTCCAAGGAGTTGCCCTCACACCTCAAACAGCATAGTGTGAAATCTGTGGTGGTTACACCAGAGTCATGTTTTCAAGACGTGAAATCTCTGGGGTTGAAATTAGGGCCACAACCTCAAGATGTGAATTCTAAGAAGTTAATTTCTTGCCTCAAGCAGAAATCTATGGTGTTTGTATCAGAACCATGTTCTCAGGATGTAAAGTCTGTGAAGTCAAACTTAGAGCTACGACCTCAATTTGCGAATTCTTTAGGGTTAACATCATGCCTCAGGTCACAGTGTGTTAAATCAGTGGTCTTTGTACCAAAGCCACATTTCCAAGATGTAAAATCTGGAGAGCTGGCAGTAGAGTCTCAACAGCAAGGTATGAATTGCCAAGAGTTGACTTCAGGTTGGCAAGGTATGAAATCAGTGATGTTGGAACCAGAGCCAATGAAGGAGTTAATACCAGGACCAATGTTGACTAGTGTCAAATTTTCCAGTTTGTCTCCAGAATCACAGCAACAAGTTGTGAAAACTTTGGAGTTTACTTCAGAGTCAAAAGTGCAAAGTGCAAAACATAAGGAATTGTCTTTGGTGTCTCTGCAACAAACTATAAAGTCTATGGAGTCAGCACCAGGTATACTGCTTCAAAGAGTGAAATCTGAGGAGCTAACTTCAAAACCAGGCTATCAACTCATAGACTCCTTTGAAGTTATTCCTAAAACAGATCACCAGTTTGCTGAATATGCAGAGATGATCCCAAAGCCAAGGCATCAAGTCTCTAAATCTGTGAATTTGATTTCAATACCAATTAATCAAAGCATAGAATCTTCAGAAATGATACCTGAGTCAGCATATCAAGGCACAGAAACTGTAGCAGAATCTGTGGGGTTTACCCCAAACACAGCACGTAAAGTCATGCAATCTTCAGGGATGCCTCAGATGCTAGATCTTCAAGTACCAGAATCTGTGGATCTGACTCCAGTACTAGGGGGTCAAGGATCAAAATCATTAGAATTAACTGCAGAGAAAAGTTACCAAGTCCCAGAAACTCTGGAATTATATACTCAGGCATGGCCTCAAGTTAAGGATTTGGGGATGTTATATACAAGGCCACTGCAGAAAGTTGTAGAATCTGAAGGAATGACCCCAGAGCTAAAGCATCACATTACAGAAAGTATGGGGTTGACTTTTGAACCAAGGCTGCAAGGGGAGGATTCCCTTAGAATGACCCCAAAACCAATAAATCAAGCCACTGAATATACAGAGAGACCTCCAAGGCCCTGTCCTCAAGCCCTAGAACCTGTGGAGGTGATGTCTGAGAAAAAGCTGCAAAGGGAAGAATCTGTGGCATCAATTCCAAAGTCATTATATCATGTTCCAGAATCTTCAGGGATGACACCAGGGCTAGCATATCAAGTTCATGAATCTGTAGAGTTGCCTTCTGAGACACGGGTCCAAGTGGAGGAACCTATGGAATTGACTGCAATGTCACTGGATCATATGAGATCTTCAGAGACAATATCAGAGTTAGGATACCAAGCTCCAGAATCTGTGGATTGGACTTCTAAGCAACAACTGCAAGTGGAGGGATCTTTAGACTTACCCCCGAAGCAAACAGATCAAGTTGCAGAATCTCAAGAACTCACTTCTAAGATATGGCAGCAAGAGAAGGGACCCATGGGGCTAACACAGTCACAGTATCAAGGTATGAAATATTCAGGGATATCAAGAGACTTGAAAATAAAAAGCCTTGAGACAGATATTTTGCAGCCTGGAAAGTCAAATATAGACCCTACTATGATACAGTCTTCAGCCCTTCCCTTAGACCTTCTTAATCAGTCTTTTGATCAAACAGCTATTACTGTGGAAAGCCCACATCCTGGACCACCAGATCAAATTAGAGAATTTATGAAGATTAGTCCAAAGCCACTCAGTCAAGTCACAGAATCAACAAGTACACAGCTTCAAATTTCTAAATCGATAGGGGTAACCCCATTTGTCCCCCTAAAAGTTGTTGAATCTGTAGAAGTGACCCCAGGGCCATCACTTCAAGTTGTGAAGTCTGTGGCATTAACCCCAGGACCAACTCTTCAAATGGCAGAACCTGTTGAATTGCCTCCCAAACGGAAAGATATGAGACCTTCAGGGCTATGGTTGCAAGATATGAACTCTCAGAAATTAGTCACAGAGCCAATACACCACATTTTGGAAATAATAGAGTTGACAGGGTTTCAAATCATAAAGACTGTGTTAATTCCAGGACTGCCACTTCAAATTGTAAAATCTGAAGAAATAGCACCAGGGCCCGTTCCTCAGTTTGTTTCAGAACAAACAGAAGTAGCCATTGCATTGGGGCTTGAAAAAATGGAATATTTGGATTTATATCCAAGGCCACATATTCAAGAACTGATACGACCTGTGGAATTAACTCCAAGGGCAAATGTTCAAGTGAAATCTGGAGAATTAACTCCACATCAAACATCTCCATTTGAGAAACCTATAGTGTTGACTCGTGAACAAGAGTTTCAGGCTGTGAAATCTATAGGGAAAAAATCAGATCCACCTCAAGTCATGGAACCTGAGGATTTGAATCTAGGACAAGTTTATCAGAATAGGGAATCTGAGGAGTTAACATCAGGAGAAGAGTTACAAGTAGCAAAATATTTATCTAAGTTCATTGCTAGCTCATCATCCCAACTTATTCCAAGCCCTCTCAAAATTACTTCTGAATTAGGAGGCCACTGGGATCCTGAAATGCCAGAAGTATCAAGAGACTTGGGTATAAAAAATCTTGAGACAGATATTTTGCAGCCTGGAGAGTCCTATACAGACCCTACTGTGATACAGTCTTCAGTCCTTCCCTTGGATCTTTTTAATCAACCCTCTGTTCAAACAGCTATCACTGTGGAAATCCCACATCCTGAGATCCCAGCAGTAGATGTCATTTCTAAGGAGATAACCAAGAGGCAGCAGATGGAAGAGCTAGACAACCCACTCCAGTTGGAATATGGTCTTCGGAACCTCTCCCAACATCTGTCACGAAGCTGTAGATTACCATCTAGGATTTCCCAGGCAGGATCAGGTGCTCGAAGAGCGCTGACCTGGTCCATCCTTGGCAGACAACAGAATGTCTGTGAGAGTCATGCCTGGAAACAGCGGCTACCTAGAAAATACCTGTCCCATATGGTAATGCTGGGGAATGTCTTGGGAGCTACTATGGAAAAGAAATCTTGTTCTCAAATATATCCAGCAGAAAGAGTCCCTGCAGATACCTGTCAATCTATTCAGAAATTATTTGGGGTTCCAGCAGAACTGATGAAATTCCCCCAGAGCCTGGTAGAGAGGGGTCAGAGTATTAATTCTCACCCTTCAGTAGTCAAAAACTATATTCAGAGACATACTTCATGCCATGGTGGTCAAGAGAAAAGAATGGCTTTGAGGATGTGGACACGTGGCTCCCCATCTTCCATAATACAGCAATACTCTGGGACAAGAGTGGGAATAAAGAAAACAAACTCAAGGCTCAGTGATATATCCCAGGAAGTCAGTAAACACATGCCTTTCTCACATATAAGAGACCAGATTCCTGCTCCAGTAAAGTCCGAGTCTTCTTTGAGGACATTTTTCAGGAGGGAAGATTCTATTCCAGTGGAAGAGAGTGAGAATTCACAGAATGATTCACAGACAAGCATTTTTGAACCCCAACACTCCCTTGAGCCAAATTATCTTCCCGAGGCTAAGACTGACTGCTCAGAACAATCCCAGCTACTACAAGATCTGCAGCTGAAAATAGCAGCAAAACTCTTAAGAAGTCAACTACCCCCCAATGTGCCTCCACCTGTAGCTACTGGTCTGGTACTAAAATACCCTATCTGCTTACAGTGTGGCCGATGTTCAGGATTTAACTGCTGCCATAAATTACAGGCCACTTTTGGGCCTTACCTTCTTATCTATCCACAGCTCCACCTTGTAAGCACTCCTGAGGGCCATGGTGAGATTCGGGTGCATCTTGGCTTTAGGCTGCGAACTGGGAAAAGATCCCAAGTCTCAAAGCATCCTGGAAGAGACAGACCCGTCATACCAAAGAGCCCTATATCACCACCACAAAGGAAAACTAAAATCTATACTCGAGCTTTCAAGAGTCCTATTCCTACAACAGATTTCTGGACTGGGCCTTCACAATCTCTTACTCCTATACAAGTCCACATCAGGCAAGGGCAACATGGCAGCACTGAACCTGTAGGAAAGACAGAAATTGGAAAGTCTGGACACTATGAATTCACTCAAGTTCATTCCCTACCAGAGAGTAGTTCTGAAAGCAATCCGGATGAAAAGTGGGCTAAAGTGACATCCCAAAAGACTCCTAATCCAAAATATCCAATGAAGAAAGTCACCAAGGAAGTTAGAATACAAAGCAGTGGAAGTCTAATAAAGAGTCCCTCTAGGGAATTACCAGCTCACTTAAGAAGGAAAAGGATTGGAGCAACTCAGACAACTCCTGCCTTTTTAAACAGAAAATCGAAGAAATCCTCCCAACCCACATTCACGCAAATGCTTTTTCAAGCCCTAAAGCAGGCATTCCTAACAACACACAGAGTTATGGCTTCTACTGTGCAGAAGCCTGAGGACAGGGCAAAGCCAGACAACTTGTGGTTGAGCAAAAACTCCCCTCTAAAACAAAAAGCCAAAGAATATTGCTTATCAAGAGATATCAGTAGAGATAGGAGGCCACTTGTCAAGGTAAGGCCCACAGACCCAACCACTAAGCAGGGAAGAACAGCCCAGTTAAGATCAGCTCAACAGCCGAAAAGAGGTAGTTTTTTCCAACCCAGACCTACCCAATTGCCTAAGTCCATAGTTTCCAAAAAAGATATCACTTTCCAAACCACCTCAAGCAGACAGCCTTTGGGTATAGCTCAAAATGTCAACAGCAGCAGAGCTAAGAAAAACTTCAGGACTGAAATCTCCAGCCCAGAGTCTAAGAACTTGCCCAAACCAAGTACCACAGTTCAGGCCAGAGAGGGATCCTTACATGGTTCCTCTATGAAAAGAACCCCACACGGTCACTTTAAAGAGAAACCCACATACAAGGAGCAAAACCACTTCAGCAGTCCCTCTGAGAGGAGCCATCGCAGTTCCTCTAAGAGAACTCGATGCAGTCTTCCTAAGAGGAAACATCACAGACCCTCTGAGAGGATCCGTCACAGTTCCTCTGAGAGGACCCATCACAGTCCCTCTGTGAGGAGACAACGCATTCTCTCTGAGAGGCGCTGTCACAGTCCCTCTGAAAGAACCCATTTCAGTCCATCTGAGAGAAGTAGACGCAGTCCCTCTGAGAAGAGACGATACAATCCTGAGAGGAGTCCACACAGTTACTCTGGGAGAACCTATCATAGACCTCCTGAGAGGAACCGTAGCAGTCCCTCTGAGAGAACCCATCGCAGTCACTCTAAGAGAACCCATCGCGGTCACTCTGAGAGGAGCCGTCGCAGTCCCTCTGAGAGGAGCCGTCGCAGTCACGCTAAGAGAACCCATCGCAGTCACTCTGAGAGGAGCCGTCGCAGTCATTCTGAGACAACCCATAGCAGTCCTTCTGAAAGAAGCCGACAAAGTTCCTCTAAGAGAAGCCGTGACTGTACTCCTAAGGAGAGAATCACGCACAGTGCCCCTGGGGACAGAGCCAGACATAGTTTGCCTAAAGATTTCATCAGTTACTCAAATACAAAAAAACACAGAAGCAGGGCAAGTTTGGAGGCCTGAAGCTAGTAGATGATGAGAGGTCCACCCCCACTGTCTCAGGTCTTTTCCAAGATGCCCTTTCCTGCTCATCTGCGGTCTCCAATTCTTGAGTCCTCACCAGTGAAAGGGCTTCTATGTTCCCCTATTTGGCGGTATGGGTCTATAATTTCTTTACGATAAATAAAGGATCAATAAGTGGAACACTGATCTCCGTTTGTATCTGAAAGACTCTCGTCGCGTAGAGTGGGGAAGGGCGGGTGGAGGGACACAAGGAGTCGCACAGAGGCATCCTTAAGGCTGCACACTCCTCCCCTTTTGTGCCAAACCCCACCCCCAGTTTCCAGGATCCCATAACGCAATCCCTCCCTTGGGCGGGGTCTCAGAAGAATTGGCGGGGGACTCGTCACGTCACTGACTGGGGCCGCGGCCTCCTCGGAAGCTGCTAGGCGGAAGTAGACGTTCAGAACGGAGTTCGGCGCCATCGACTCCACATCCGGGAATGGCGAGGAGAGCGGAAGTGGCGTTGGCCTGGCCGGAGCCCCTGGGTGAATTTGTTAGGCGTGGAGAGGGGGTGATGTCTTCCAGATTCGGTGCAGTACCCGCTGTGAGTTTCTTGGTTTGACCGTTATGCTTTAGGGGTAGCGCTGTGGAGCCCAGAACACGCGGCCCCTCGCTTTTGTCCCATGTCCTGAGTTGGTTTTATCAGAACCCATCGTAGGCCCCACCCTAGGTCGTACCCACCTGTCCCCTTTTTTCTGTCCTCACTTTACGCTGTTCCCCACCTTCTCGGACTTACTTACAAACCAAATTGCCGTTAGTTTTATTGTCTTACATCGCCAATGCCTGCCACATCCGTTGTCTTCTCTTTCCGCTTCCCTTTATCTGGGACAGGCCTTTGAGAAGGGGGAGATGAAGGATTTGCTATTGTTCCCCCTTTTACTGTATAGGAAAACAGAACGGTACACTTTCCTAAAAAGTACTTTTTCTGTTTGAGATAGTTGCTCCAGGAGAGCTTCCTTTTTCCAGGGCACAGGGGGTTCGACTTTTTGTGGCAAGGTTCAGAGGTCCCTAGCACTCACTCGTGTGTTTGTGATTTGCTAGACTCCGGGACCCACATCCTTTAAGCAGCAGAGGAGCCCGAGGAAGATCGTGGGAAGTAAGAAGTAAGTGAGGTTTTCTGAGGTCCATTTATAATTGTGTCTCCAGCATTGTTCAGCAGAACTTCTGTAATGATGAAAATGTTCTTAGTCTGCACTGTGTAATAAGGTAGTCCTTGGGTACGTATGACTTTTGAGCACTTGAATTGTGTCTAGTGTGACTGAGGAACTGAATTTTAAATTTTATTAACTTTCAATTAATTTAAATTTACATAGCCACCTGTGGCTAGTGGCTGTTGGGAAAAAATTACTAAAAATCTACTCGCAATCCAGAAAACATCTTCACACAAGTAGAAGAGAAAGAGAAGTTTTATTATTGGGGAAGTGTTAAACCAGAATGTGATGCTTCCCAGTTAGTCTACTAAAGAGATTGCAAAGACAGAGAAATCTTATTCTTGATGTAGCTGAGTGGATACAACTCATTGCATTCATGTTTAAGATAAAATTAGTTAATTTTCTAATACAGAATGTTTATGGCAGGATACCAAAGTTATGGTAGTCTTTTTCCTTCAAACTAAGAGGTGGAAGTATGAGCTTTCTTGATGACTACATTTGAAAAGAAATAATGCCCAGGCCCTTGAGGAAATTTCTTTGATTTACATACTTTTCAGAAAACCAAAGAAAGATTCTACCATTACAAGTTATCCAAGGTGAATTCCAACGGGGGAGGGGAACCTCTTCCCTTATTTTCAACAAGGAGAATTAAAGCCTCTTTATCAATTTGGGAGCTCCAATGGCATAGTAGGGAGCTCTGGTAGCGTAGTGCCTAAGGCATTTGATTGCTAACCAGAAGGCTGGCGGTTCAAACCCACTAGCTACTCCTGGGAAGGAAGATTGGGCAATCTGCTTCTGTAATGATACTGCCTCGGAAACCCAAGGAGGGGTCGCTGTGAGTGGAGTCCGACTTGAAGGCACATAACAACAACAACAGCTTCTGTAGAGATACTGCCTCAGAAAATCCAAGGAAGGTTCACTATGAGTTGGTAAAATGACTCAAGGGCAGTGAGTTTGGTTTGGTTTGTATTTTCAATTTATATTTGTTCTTAGATGGCTGCTTTATGGGACAGTGTAGGTCTAAGCCAAGTATGGAGCAGAAAAACCTAGTTTACAAAAAAAAAAAAAGTCGAATTGCAATAATAAAAATGGAACATATGACTCAATGGTAGTAGTGTTATTTCTTCAGACATTGCCCATGAAGACATTGATGAACATGGTAAACTGATAAAGAATGGCTATAAGAAATCTGTGTGTTTTTAATCTACTTGGCTCCTAGACTGGTTTATTATTTTGTATACTGAATGTGCTGAGCTTTTTGTTTGTTTGTTTCTGTAAAATTGAATAAAGTCTAGATACTACATACACAAAAAGCAGTCAGTACAGAGAAGGCAGTTTTTGATTTTTCTATTGAGAATTTTTTTCCATATCACCCATTAAAGCAACCACCATGACAAAGGAAACATCTAATTAATCCATTTTCTTCTGAATCAAGAATGCTGATAATTTACTGTCCCATCTGTAGTTGTATCAACAGTGTAATGAACACAGTTGTAATTTTATTTGGCGATTTTTTGAACTTTTTTTTTTTTTAGGATTTGGG